TCATATTTGGTACTGTGCTCTAATAATATTAAATGATGCCCATAAGATCCTTAATTTATGCTAAATGGTCTCAGATTACAGCATTGTTCACATTTGGCCTTAAGATACATATTTTAATCACAGCAACATTATGAACTCTTTGTTTATAAAAAAGGACCAAAAGTAAGGAACTACAGTTCTTGACACTTGCATTTATATGTTTGCAGACTTATTGGGCAGAGACAATCACTATATTCATCTGAGCTTTATTTTTATGGTGATTTTTTTCATGGTTAAAAATGTTATTCTTTTTTTTTTAAGATTTATTTTATTTATTTGAAAGTCAAAGTTACAGGTAGTGCCAGAGAGAGGGTGGGGGTCCACTTTTTTACTCCTCAAATGCTTCAGTGGCTGGAGGATCCAAAGCCAGGAGCTAGGACCTTCTTCCGGGTCTGCCACGTGGGTGTAGGGGCCCAAGGATTTTGGCCATCCTCCACTGCTTTCCAGGCCCATTAACAGGGAGCTGGATCAGAAGTGGAGCTGCTGAGATTCAAACCAGCACCCATATGGGATGCTGGCACTGCAGGCTGGGGCTTTAACCACTATGCCACAGCGCTGGCCCCTAAATGTTATTTTTTAAAGATATTTCATGAACTCCTTGATCCTTATATTTCTTGCTATGACAGGTGAAGAATAAACTTTTCTCACCTTTTATGATTTTTATTGATTTTTATATCTTTTGTTTATCACTGTAAAAGTAAATAACATATTTGTATTTTTTAATCTGCTAACTACAAATGATACTTCTTAATTCCCCAACTTGTAACATGAAGATTAGCAAGGGCAACCTTCCCTGTCTTCTGTTCTCTTTTTGATTTATCTACCATTTAACTACTATTTATCTACTATCTATAAATCTACCATTTATCTACTATTTAATTCTATTCCTGCGTTGCCATAGTTAATGGCATTTACATTCTATAGTGTAATAATAATTAGATCTGTGCTTTATGTGTTGACGTAGGCATCTGAAAGGAGATAAACAGCATTTATGTCACTGTTCTTCCCTAAATGACAACTGTTGCAAAGTAGTGTTGTTATGTGTTCCTATTCTGCAGTGTTCTTGTTGATGATCTCTGCCTCTCTCAAAAAAATGTTCCGAACAGTCTTTTCCATCATCAGTTTATCAGAATTATACATTTTGGTTTGCTACTTGTTTGGACCTTTTCTGTTCTTTTCCTTTCCTTTTTCCCCCAATTTTGATAACCATTTTCCCAGCTGTGGGAGCAAATGTATCTTACTTGCTAGGGTCTTAATGTCTTTCAGCTCCTTCTGATTTTAATGACGGTTTAGAATCTGTTCTCTTCATCTTGTCTAGTTAAAGTGTTGCTCTAAATTGTACTGGTTGCTTTATAGTTTCATAGTTAAGACTACAGCTTTCTTAAACATCTTATACTCTTTTTACCTTATCACATTTCTAATTGGCTTTTTTCCTTATAGTGCTTCAGATTCTGTTTTTCATTTATACTGCCTTTCCTGTCAGTTATGCTAAGGTGATTTCCCAAGAATGTGTGGTAGGTAAATTTCAGGTTCTTCACATTTCTGAGAACATGTTTGTTTAAACTTGATTATTCAATATAAAATTGTGAATCAAAAATGATATCCCAAACTCTGAGGAATGTTTCTATTTGCTGTTACCTAGTGTTGCTAATATCCAGTCCAATTCAAGCCTCATTGTTTGTTCTTGTTACATTTTATTTTTTTCTAAAAATATTTAGGATACTCTGTTTATCTGTGATGTTATAAAATGCTGCAGTATTTCTCAGTTTTGCTGTTTTCTCATTTCTCTTATTCCTTATTGGGGAAATAATTTTTATAGGATTGCTTTCTTTTATTTGAAAGGCAGAGTTAGAGTGGGCCAGGGGAGGGGAAAAAAAAAAAAGATTTTCCGTCCACTGGTGCACTCCCCCCATGGCCACAACATCAGGACATGGGCCAATCCAGAGCCATGAGATTCCTCCAGGTCTCCCATGTGGATACAGGGCGCTAATACTTGGGCCACTCTATTGCTGACCTAGGTGCACTAGCAGAGAGCTGGATCATAAGTGGAGCAGCCAGGACCGGGGACTGAACTGGCAGCCATATGGGTCGACAGTATTGCAGGTGGCAGCTTTACCCACTACGCCACAGCACCAGCCCCAGGGGAAATAGTTTTTAAGCTAAAGATTTGGTCTTTTTTAATTGTGTTGTTCTAGAAATAGAATTTCCTTTGCTTTATTCTCTTCTCTTTCTGGACATCTTTCTGTTTGAAAGTTGGATTAATTGGATTGTACTTCCAAGTCTCTTTCTCTCACTTCTCCCATATATTATACCTAGGTCTTCTTTTATTCTGTTAACTTTATTTTTTAAAATTTATTTAATTGAAAGACTGAGTGACAGAAGGAGAGACACAGAAAGAGAGAAAGATCTTTTATCTGCTGGTTCACTCCCAAATTTGCTGCAACAGCTGGGGTTGAGCCTGGCTTAAGCCAGTAGCTTCATTTGAGTCTCCCACGTTGGTGTTAGGGGCCAGCTCTTTGGGCCATTATCTACTGCTTTTCCAAGCACATTAGCTGGGAGCTGCACCATAATTGGAAGAGTGAGGACTCAAAAACTCAGATATGGGATGCTGGTGCTGCAAGAAACAAGTTAATTTACATCACCACAATGCTGGCCTCTGTCCTGCCAATTTCACTTAACTCTGTCTTTTAATGTTGGCATATTATTCAAGTGATCATATTTTAAATCTGTCAGTTTTTCTGTCCCTTTTTTGTTACCACATTTTTCTTTTGTATTTGTGTGTATGTGTGTACTGTTGGCTGAAGCAGTCTGTCATGGGCCCTGAGTGTCCCTGTATGTTCTCACTGAGTGTGTCAAGAACAAAGTGTAGGCTTATTATCAGATATTATAAAAAGTAGTAACTCTGGGGCCAGCATTTTGGCATCGCAGATACAGTCACCAGCTGCAATGCCAGAATCCCTAGTGGGTGCCAGTTCATGTCCTGGCTGCCCCACTTCCAATTCAGCTCCCTGTTAATGGACTGGGGAAAGCAGTAGAAGATGGCCTGAGTGCTTGGTCCCCTGTACCTACGTGGGAGACCTGGATGGAGCTCCTGGCTTAGCCCTGGGTGTTGTGGCCATCTGGGATGCCAACCAGCAGATGGAAGATCAGTCTCTCTTTCTGTGTCTCTGTCTTTCTCTCTAACTTGGACTTTCAAATATTTTTTTAAAATAGTAACTCTTCTGAACTTAATGTTTTTTCTCTTACAACACAGTTAGCTATATATGCAGGTGTACCTTTGTGTCACCCTGTGATTCTTGGAGGCTTAGGGAATGAATGGATGCATTCAGAAGTGAAATCATAAAATACTTCGGAGATAGGTATTTGGTGTAGTGATGAAGATGCCGATGCCTCATAAAGAATGCCTGGGTTCAGTACCTGCCTCAGTCCTGATCCACATTTCCTGCTAATGGGGACCCTGGTAGGCAGCAGTGACAGCTGAAGGAGTTGGGTCCCTGCCAGTCACATGGCTTCTCTGGATTAAGTTCTCAGCTCCTAAATTGAAACTCCTCACCATAGTGAGCATTTTCATGGTGATCCAGAAGCTGGGACCTGTTTCTCAACGTCAAATAATTTATTAAAACAAATGAAGTCTTTTGATTCAGTACCCATGAAACAGTAACAGACTAGCATGTTAGCTTGTACATAGGATAATGTTTTATGCCCTGCACATTTTTTGACAAAATGCTCTACTTTGACTTTTTATAGGTATATTAAATTTTAATTTCAATGTTTTGACCCTTTAACTGGAGTCATTTTTGCGTGTTTGTAACATTGTTTTTAATCATGTCAGGTTTTCTTCACATATATGATAATTTTTTTATATTCTAGATATTAACAGAAAATCCAGCATTGGGAGTATTGGCAGATGTTTGTGTCTGCAGTTCAATATGAAGAAGTTTTATTTAGGACCTCAACTTTTAGTTTCATTTTTTCAGTCTTGGGAGTCTTACAAATTTAGTGTTTGTCCCTAGCTTACCACATTATAGTTGCCTTTGAAAGTACACTTTTCCTCCATCAAAACTTTTCTACAAGCCTTCTGTTTAGATATTTCTTGAAATCTATTATGTGCAGTAATTCTACTCCAACACTTTTTGTTACTGTAGAACTGTATCTTTTTATTTCTTTGCTTCTTTTTGGGGGAATTTTTTTTTAATGTTTTAGCGATAACTTGTTGCCTCATGTTTGTATTACTGTGCTTATTTACTTCTAGTAATAACATTCTCCTGTCTAAATATAAACCTTTATCTGGAAAAATCAATAAAATGTCCAATAAAATGGATTCAATGAGTAAATATGGTCTTAGAGGAGAGTTTTATTGTGCCATCTGGTTTAGCTGCTTAGAGAAATTTTTGCTTACTTTAATGCAAATGCATTAAAAATGCATATATAATACACCATAACTCTGTTTATAACTTTAGAATGTATTTCCTTATAATTTTTGTGGTTTTTTTTTGTCAAGCTTTATTGCAAATGTTCTCCAAAATTGCCCTTTGCCTTTTAATACAAAGAATTAGAAAATTCAACTTACATGTGTAGAAGTAGGGGATCACAAAATGTTTTGTCTCCTAGAACAAGATTTTTTTTAATTTAAAGGACCAGGCTAGACTTGTGTCCCATGTAATTGCTGTTACAACTAACTTTGTCCTCATAGCATAGTCTTAAGAAAAACGTAAATGAATCATTGTGGCTGTATGGCCATAAAACTGTTAATGGCAGTATAATTTAAATTTCATGTAATTTTTACATGCCATAAAATATTTCTTTGTATTTTTATGATCATCTAAAAATATCAAAATGTATTTTTAGCTTGTAGTTCACAAATGGACTGGCCAATTCTTGCCCTATCATTTCTTGTTTTACCAACAGCTTGTGAATACTCGAATACTGATGTTTGTGCTCTGCCCCATTATCCTTATCAGGCAAGCTAATGAAGAATACCAAATACTGGCTAACTCCTGGCGCTACTCATCTGCTTTCTGTAACAAACTCTTCTTCAGTATGGTGGATTATGATGAAGGGACAGATGTTTTTCAGCAGGTAAAAGAGTTTTATTTTATTTTGGTAATACATAACATAGTTGGTTATGGTTTATGCATCTTTATTTGCCAAATAAAATAACAATTCATTGAGCAGGTTAACATATGCAGTAAATAGTTACAATAAATTCTGTGACATGATTAAAATAATTACAACTAATGTTGTCTTTATCATTGTATGGTTTTTGATGTTAATATGGTAGACACGTTTTGACCTTTGCATTGTAAAGGAAAAACTTTTTTTCAGCATGTGGTGACAGTTTGTGTGCATTAATCTTATTTTGATATTTAAGCAAATGTGATTTAGGTTGTACTTTGCATACATTTTTGACATTTTATATAAAATTCAGTGCAACTTTTACTTAACCTTGATTTCTTCCAGTATGGTATATAAATCCCAGACAATTACACCTCTAAAGTAGTAAGTATGTATATAAAAGTGTTTTCTCTAGGTTATGGGCTGAATTGTGTCTTGCTAATTGCATATGTTGAAAATCAATGTGATTGTATTTGGAGATAGGGCCTTTACAGAAGTAATTAATGTTAAATGTGTCTATAAATCAGGTAGGACTGATATTTGTGTAAGATAAAAAACATCAGGGGAGCACGTGTGCTGAGAGAAACGCCACATGAGCACACGGGGAGAAGACTACCATGTGGAAGTCAGGAAGAGACGCCTTACCAGAAACCATCACTGCTGGCACAGTAATCTTGGACTTCTATTCTCCAGAACTGGGAGAAAATGAACTTCAGTTATTTACACTGTCTAGTATGTAATTTACTGTTAATGCAATGAGAAAAGATTGCCACTGCTGTGTACAGTCTTCTCTCTAGAGCAGTGTTGGATTTTGGTATGACAATGCTAGTGGTCCTGAGTGGTGTTTTGATTGGGTCACCATCCTTGTTAGTGATGAGGGCTTATAGTCCAGGCCCTGCTTCAAATGGATCCTCTTATTTAGCTTTACCATGATCCATTGAGGGAAATGTTGCTGCCATTTCACGTACGAGTAAATTAAGGTATGGGGATGTGTTGGTTATTCACAATTACAAAGACTGCATAATTTATAGCTAAAATTTGAACCCTGGTGGCTGGCTTCCAGAGTTCTAGTAGCTCCTAATAATGTTGCCTTGTAGTTAACAGTTTTTTTTTTTTTCTGTTTTTATTACCTGATCATCCTTTTCAAATTAAAACTTGTTGCAGTACTGAACATTTGTGGGTGTAGTTATCTTGTACTGTTTCATTTTTCTCACCTGATATCCTTTATCATATGTTCTTCTAGGTCATGAAGAAGCATTTAGCTTTATAGAGAATCTAGCTGACTAATTGTAGATGGGCCATCTGTGGGTAGTTTTGCTTATTTGCTTCCAGGTTGATGATTTTTCAATCTTTGTCAGTTTCTAGTTGAATAAGAGGATTTATTTCTTTTTGCCTTCATTACCCTTTTCCTATCATTATTCTTCACTTATTCCTCCATGAATTTATTTTGATGTATCCAAAATAAATAGGATGTTTATTTGTATCTTGAGTGTTTCTTTGTATTAATCAATTCAGCAAATATCATTGAGTGCCTACTATGTAGGGGCAATATTGACAAGAAAAGTGTGCATATAAGAAGCTTTCAAATTAGAAACCTAATAATAGTAATGATAATGTCATAATAGCAAACATAAGCATATACTTTCTGATAACTTTATAAGGGAAAAGTATGGTACCACAGGAATCAAATATTTCATGAGATTTATAGGTCTCTATAGAATATTAGGAAAACTGACCTTGGACATCATTAGGTGGAATTTGTACTGATTATATATGTATTACATTGTGTATTACAGATTATATATATTTATATATAAATTCTCCCTACTACAGTAGTCGGCTGGGTTCATCCTGCCTGCTGGAGCAGGGGCTTTATGCCCAAATGCTCACCCGAACCATTTTGTAAGCTAAAGAAAGTGGGTCGGGTTTAGTCTGGTTATAATTCTATGTTAAATATCTTTTTAAAAAATTTTAATGGAAGCACCCATATCACTTTGCTCCTGAGTACTCTGAGAAATAAAATCATATAAATGACCATGCATTCCTATTCCAGCACTTCTTCCAAAGCATCATATTTGTAAACTCCGTGACCTACATCGTGCAGCTTTAGTCATTCCTACAGGACTCATACAGAGTGGAAGTATTTTCCGTTATGTAAATAATCATGCAAATAAACCATGCATTCGGCTCTTGGTCTCATTCTTGGAGAAGCTTCTAGAAGACGTGTTTGAGCTCAGTGGGAGAGAAGCAGTTCAGCTCTGTCTCTGTTGAAGACATGCAGGTTACATGTAGCGAGATATATTTTTCAAAAAAAGACTCAAATGCAAACTGCTGTATGAAATTTCTCTATCTTTAAAATACTGGTAGCTTACTCAGATTTTAAAAAGAAAAAAAAAAACTTTATTGGACATCCTACTTCTAGCTTTATACCAAGCACTAACTATTGATTGCTTGTATGTCACTATATAACTATATGATTAGATATAATCAATAATACCTTTATATACTTTAGACCTAATTTTTTAAAAAGTTCAACATAGATATGAGAGATTAAGACAATATTGTTATAATTGAAAACTTCTCAGGTTAATTTTGATTCAGCAGAATTGCTGGTACAGAACTGCTTTGTCTTTTGCAATACCTAGCCCCTGGCAGAGCAATAACACTTTTCATTTTAGAATGCAGAAATGCATAAACATTATAGCAGTTAATGGTTTCTAGGAGGAATTAAAACCTACAAAATTAAGAAGTAAACATTTTACTTCATTGGAAGAATACTAAAATTTTTAATCCTTACATGTTTTCTTTCCTGCTAACTATGGAGTCATTTTTGTCAAAGCAATCTCAAAATTGATGTTTTAAAGCACTATCAGCAATAGTGTGTTATCTGAAGATAATAATTGTAACAGGGGTAGAAATTTGGTAATTTCTGGTGTATGGGAACTTAGTAAAATACTTTCAGCTCTGAATGAGTCCTGTAGGAATGACTAAAGCTGTGTGATGGTGGGTCATGGAGCTAACAGATAGGATGTTTTGAAAGAAGTGCTGGAATAGGAAACAGCTCTCTGTTCTTTTTGTGTTTAGCCTTAGGGAATTTGTAGTTTTTAGTTAAAGGAAGGCTTTGAGTTACATGGTTTTTTACATCTGAACGTCTAGGCATTAAGCCTTAGTCTATATTTTCAGATCTAATGCAGAAAGTAAAGATGAAGAGAACATCTTCCCTGTAATACTAGATTTACATGTTGGCTGTAGCTGTCTCTTGTACATCCATGATAAAAACATCATTATATGTCTTGAGTGGGAGAGCTAAGGGGAGGAAGGAACTTGTCAGCATCACTAAAAGTACGTAACATTCAGAGCCATTGCTGAGGAATGGGGCAAGATAGGCTTCTGACATACAGAATATATACACACATATATACACAAGCACACATGTATATCATATGTATGTATATAAGGGGCATATTCTTATTTGTAATAAGGATGCATGTACATTAAGATGTATGTTATAGTCTGTATGATGTCTATATTGCAGGAACTTGCTCCTCTAATTCTATCTTCATGAAATTTTTCAAAATTTTTATTAAATTTTTTATGGAAAATTCTTATATTTTGTTAGAGTTCAGAAAGCATTATGATAGAGTAATAATGAAGTATCTCAATCAGAAGATCTAAGTTAACAGTTTAGCTTTGTCTCATGATACCTACTTGATCTTTGGTAAATTTTTTATGTGAGCTTAGGCCTTTACCTCCTCTTGTGTAAGAGAAGGAAAATGGTAATGTGTTTCTCATAGGACTGTTGGAGATATTCAAATGAGATACTGTTGTATAACTCCATGCCTAACATATGAATGTGTATTAAATAGTTGTTACTACTGTTATAACATTCCAATAATATTGTCATGCAGCCTCATACCTACCCAGACTGCCTTATTTTTGCAGATATTTGCTAAATCTAAATTCTGTAGAAATAATCAAAAGGTAGGGTAAAGGTATGAGAACAAGAAATGAAACAGGGGTGTCTGAACCTTGCTTTAGTTCCTGCTACTGCGACAGAACACCTGAGACTGGATAATTTTTAAGAAACAAAAATGTATTGGCTCACAGTTCCAGTGGCTTAGAAGTCCCATACGTGAGGGTATCAGCTTGAGGCAAGGTACTATTTGCTGTGTCATGGCAGAAGGGGAGAGGGCTGAACTTGTTTGTAATAGCACAGTCCCACCCATTACCTAGAGATCTCTTTAAATCTCACCTTTTAATACTGTTAGAGCTGAAAATAGATTTAAACATGAATTTTGGAGGGACATATATAAACCATAGGAAATATGGCCAATTGATCTTTATCCAAACTATTTGAAGAGTAATACTGTAGGCATGGAGTTTTTATTGTATTTGTAATACTAAAATGAGAAAATTTTGATTTGGAAATGTATCTTTTAGATATTCAGTTCTTTGGAGCTAAACTCTCTGAAGCCCTATAAAGTGATTTGGAGTCATATTGTGTATATGACAGCTATAGTCCGAGTTCAGTTAGAAGGCAGCAGTTGTTTGGATCTTGACTGTAAATTGTTATTGTTAGTAGATAGACTTTTACTTAAGTACCTTAATTTGATGTCAGCTATGATCTAATGTTTATGCCATTTATTTGCTTTTGATTTTTTTTCTCATTATTGGGAAGTATAGAACTATATTTCAAGTCAAGAGCCAAAAATCTAGATTTTTTTTCTTTAAGGCATTTTTCATAATTCCCAGGCAGCAACAGTTGATTTTTTTGTTGTTTACTATTCAAATTAACCAAATGTGTGTTTTAAGATACTATATTGTTAGTAATCATTTATATTGAGATATTATCCTATTTAGTATAATTTCAAATGGAAATGACTTTTGACAAAATATTTCCAGTAGCTCTATTAAAGCAGTTGAATTAATGAAGAAATTTAGCAGAAAAAGACTATCATAGGCATATTCTCTGGTAAAGTCAAATTTTAGATCAAAAATGTTGGTTTCTGTTGCAAAGTCACATTTGTTAGGAAAAAAGAGAAGTCTTATATTTTTTCACTGGGAGCCCAGTCCACTTATAAGTTGGAAGCAGTTCCACAGTGTGTTTATTTTTCATCAAATTCCCGTGCTTTTTAAAATAAATTTACGAGGTAAAATTAAGGATCAGTCACAATATTTCTGTGTTGTACTTTCTTTCAGTAACTTCTTTATTCTAATATAAAATTCTAGAAAGTAAAAGAATGAAATACAGGGCACAGTTTAGCAAATTAATAATGTATTTTGAGGGCCCAGAGAATTAGTCAAATTCACCATTCCTTTTTCATTCAATAGTTGCTCTAAAATGAATGAGCAGAAATTAAGCCCTGGATAGCCTTTTCATAATAAATACTACGTTTCTAAAATTTTATGGAAAATATATAAAATGTTAGTTCAACATTATATAAAGAATAGTGAGGTGGTGTTTAATATTTTATCTCGTATTTTCTAGCTCAACATGAACTCTGCTCCTACTTTCATGCATTTTCCTCCAAAAGGCAGACCCAAGAGAGCTGACACTTTTGACCTTCAAAGAATTGGATTTGCAGCAGAACAACTTGCAAAATGGATTGCAGACCGAACAGATGTTCATGTATGTTTTATTCCCTGAAGATTTAATAATAGGCTAATTAATCTGGTTTGTTCATTGCAATAAGTACTCAGAAATATTAATATATATATATATACACACACATATAGTTTCTCTTGGATATTTCTCGTTACATAGAGAAAACTGTGATGGACAACTACACACAAAAAGTTGAATTTTAACTGATTAGTTGAATTCAGCTGGTTTTTAGAATAACGATTTATGGATATTTTCAAAACCATTAAGGTGTACATGTTGGTCACAAAGTAATTTCTTCCTTAAATTATTTTAAGATTTATTTATTTACTTGAAAGTCAGAGTTACAGAGGGGCAGAGGCAGCAGACCAAGAGTGAGAGACAGTCTGAGAGACAGAGACAGAGAAGGAGAAAGTCTGCCATCTGCTGGTTCACTCCCCAAACAGACGCAAGAGCTGGGGCTGGGCCAGGCCAAAACCAGGAGCCAGGAGCTTCTCCCAGGTCTCCCACATAAGTGCAAGGGCCCAAGGACTTGGCCATCTTTTGCTGCTTTCCCAGGTGCATTAGCAGAGAGTGTGATTGGAAGTGGAGCAGCTGGGATTTGAACTGGCACCCGTATCGGATGCTGGCATAGCAGATGACGGCTTAATCTACTGTGCCACAGTGCTAGCCCCACAAAGTAATTTCACAGGTTAAAAAACATTGAAAATGGTTCAAGTTATTATCAACGAAATTCTAGTTAAGAAAGAAGTGTATAAATTTTATCTATCTTTGGCAAATAAAAAATGTAGTTCTGAGTTAGAGCCTTGTAGAAAAATACCTACTAGCATATCTGCTCTGAGACTGTAAATTTATAGAACTATTCTAACTGCATGTGTCATCTCTTTTTTATGAGTATAAAAACTGAAAAGAGTTCAGAAAAATAGTATTTCTAGTCTGATCTAAAATTTTTTTCTTAAAACATGAATTTGAATATTGAAAAACAGAAAACATTTATTCTAGAAAGCAGTGAACCAAAATTTTGTTGGTGGTCTATGTAAAGGGCTTATGGCTATTTTCTCTCTCATCTCACCATTCTTTTCTGTAGTGAGTAAATATCTGGTATCTCAGAAATAGATTCATGCTGCAAGTAATAAAAAAAAAAAAAGCATTAACTTTTACTTACAATGTGAGCACATTTATCCTGAGTCAAGGAGGTTGTCACGTGTTTTTTTTTACCGACATCACTTAAAATTATTTAATAGATTTTATTTATTTTTATTTTTTATTTTTTGGCAAGCAGAGTGGACAGTGAGAGAGAGAGACAGAGAGAAAGGTCTTCCTTTTGCCGTTGGTTCACCCTCCAGTGGCCGCCGTGGCCGGCGCACCACGCTGATCCGAAGCCAGGAGCCAGGTGCTTCTCCTGGTCTCCTGTGGGGTGCAGGGCCCAAGCACTTGGGCCATCCTCCACTGCACTCCCGGGCCACAGCAGAGAGCTGGCCTGGAAGAGGGGCAGCCGGGACAGAATCCGGCGCCCTGACCGGGACTAGAACCCCGTGTGCCGGCGCCACTAGGCGGAGGATTAGCCTAGTGAGTTGCGGCGCCGGCCTATTTAATAGATTTTAATAGTGTTCATATAGTTAAACTTGTTTCCTGATTCTTCTGGTTTTGAACTATTTTGGAACACATGTTGTTAGGATCCATGAATAATGATTTGAAAGACTATTACTAACTTTTTATAAGAAATACTGATTTTTACATAGAAATTATTTTAACCTGCCTGCCTGCCACACTTAAATGTTAATTATACTTCCAAAGTATTTAGAGATTATTTAAACTTTAAAAATTAAGAAGTACAAATAGGCCAGTGTATATTCTTCACTGAATTTTATTTATTTTTTTTAAAAGACAGGTAAATTGCATTCCTAGAAATTCATGAACATGATTTAGTTTATAAATTTAATAGGTAGAGATAATACTTTTATGTGAGCTAGTACTGTCAATATTAGAATTTTGTCAGTTAACCTAGTATCATACATTTTCACCTTTTCTACAAATCCATTCTGCAGTCAGTCATTTCATTTAGATGTTAGATCTTCTAAAAGCATTTTTTAAATCTGAAATATTCCTGCACCCTATCCTTTAAACACACTGCCATTTTGAAGAATGCAGCCCTTCCTCTCACTTTTTAAGTAGAATGGTAATCATATGGTCTTCCTGATGATGTTTGCTCCTGACTGAATTCTGCTTTTGCATTCTCTGCAAATGTCTGCTCGTATCTGTAGATACACAATGTCTGTACGTACAACTTGGATGACACTAGATTTGAACATTTGGCCAATGTGTTTCCTATACTTCCACTGTATAATAACTGGTCTTTATTTTACTCCTTTGTAGTTATTAAGCTGGTTGTGTAGAGAAACTTTATGATCAAGCAAATATCCTGTTATCAAAATTTTCTTAGCCTCCAGTGACATTTCTTGCCAAACCCAGTTTTGATCATGATTGCTGCAAAATGCTGAATTCAGTTCTAGTTTTCCATTCATATTTCTAATTGCCCCTTAACTTTTTCCCCTCTCTCTCCTATCTATCTAATCTAATCTAATCTAATCTATCTAATCTATTTCTGCATTCCATCCATCCATCCTTCTGTCTGTATATATATAAAATCATGTCTTTATCATTGGTATAGACTCACAGACTTGATTTTATATTGTGCGTATTTTCAGAAATGTCTGCATATTATGTTTTAGCTTCTTACCAAAAACTTCTTGACTAGGAAAAGATTGCCTCTCCCAGTTATTGCCTATTACTAAAGATAACAAAGGGCCCAGCCATCTTTTTTTTTTTTTTTAAGATTTATTTATTGAAAGGTAGAGTGACAGAGGCAGAGAGAGAGAGAGAGACAGAACTCTTCCATATGCTGGTTCACTCCCTAAATGGCCACAACGGCCGGAGCTACACCAAACTGAACCCAGGAGCCAGGAGCTTCTTCTGGGTCTCCCACTCGGGTGCAGGGGCTCAGGGGCTTGGGCCATCTTCTACTGCATTCCCAGGCCATAGCAGAGAGCTGGATCAGAAGTAGAGCAGCCAGGACTCGAACCTGCACCCATATGGGATGTCGCTGCTTCAGGCCACCGCGTTAACCTGCTGCACCACAGCACAGGCCCCTTAACTGTAATTTTTAAAAATTCCTGACATAATTTATTCCAGACACGTCTTGTTAGCATTCTGTTAGGCATGTCTTTGGAAAGCCTTGGTTTCTTTTAGTGGGGAATGCTGCTAGAACTGAAATTTGTATGTATTTTAGAAATTGTGAGTTAATACCAATTAGATTTTTTCCCTAAAAAAGTAGAGTAGCCTTAGCTTTAAAGGACTCCATGAAAAGTAAACAGATGGTCCACTGAATGGGGGGAAATATTTCCAAATCATATTGCTGATAAGGAATATATATATAGACATGTACATATGTATGTATGAATATATATTAAATCTAATGTATTAAGTTAAATTAGATTAAATCTAATATAGTTTATATATGGTGCTACTACAACTCAATAATAAAAAGATAAAACTCAGGTAAAATGGGCAAAGGATCGAAATAAGCATTTTTTCAATGAAAATGTATATATACCCAATAAGGACATGAGAAGATGCTAAACACTGTTAATTGTCAAGGAAATTCAAATCAAAACCACAGTGAGATACCACATTACACTCATTAGTGTGGGTAGACCGTAAGTTACATCATAATTTTTGGTGAGGAAGTAGAGAGATTGGAATCCTCAAACACTGCTAATAGGGTTGTAAAATGACACAGCCACTTTGGAAACAGTTTGGCAATTCCTCAAAGTTTATGACCCATCATTCCAATTCTAGGTGTCTACATAAGAGGTGAAAGCATGTTTCTGGAGTAACTTGTACCAGAATATTAATAGCATTATTCATAATGGCCATAAAGTAGAAACAACTCACATGTTCATCAATTGTTGAATGAATAAATAAAATGTGATATAACTATATAAGGAAATACTACTTAGCCATAAAAAAGAATGACGTATCCATGTATGCTACAGCATGGATGAACTTTGAAAACATTATCTAAGTGAAAGAAACAAACCATGGGGCTGGTGCTGTGGTGTAGTGGGTAAAACCCACTATGGTGCCGGCATCCCATATGGGCTCCAGTTTGAGTCCCAGCTGCTCCATTTCTGATCCAGCTCTCTGCTGTGGCCCGGGAAAGCAGAAAAGGGCCCAACTCCTTGGGTCCCTGCACCCCTGTGGGAGACCCAGAAGAATCTCCTGGATTCTGGCTTTGGATCAGCACAGCTCTGGCTATTGCAGCTATCTGGGGAGTGAACCAGCGGATGAAAGACCCTCCCTCCCTCTCCCTCCCTCTCCCTCTCTCTCCTCCCTCTCTCTCCCTCCTCTCTCTCTCCCTCCCTCTCTCTCCCTCCCTCTCTCTCTCCCTCCCCTCCTCTCTCTCCCTCCCTCTCCTTCCCTCTCCCTCCCTTCCTCTCCCTCTCTCCCTTCCTCTCCCTCTCTCTCTCCCTCGGCCTCTCTCTCTCTCTAACTCTAACTCTGACTCTGACTCTGACTCTGACTCTGACTCTGACTCTGACTCTGACTCTGACTCTGACTCTGACTCTGACTCTGACTTTCAAATAAATAAAGCTAAAGAAAAAGAAACCAGTTACCACACAGCTTATGTTAGATTAAAGTCCAGAATAGGGGTATCTGTACAGAAGGAAAGTGGGTTAGTAGATAGTTAAGTATGGAGGTTGGAAGTTCTAAGTGAGATAGTGAGGTGATTAAAATGTTCTGATGACTGTGATGGTGGTGGTGGCATATATCTGTGAATATAATAAAAACTATATATTTTGAATGAGTGAATCATGAGATGTGGATTATATCTCATTTAGGTCATGAAAAAGTCTTTTCAAAGGTTCTACTTGGATGTAATATAAATATTATGCTGCTTACCCTTTCTATTTTCTGGGTGACCTCATGGTCTGTGGGTGAACCAGAGCAGCTTTGGGTTGAGTTATATGAACAGATTTCATGTGCTTGAGTGAATTCATGTAAAATTAAGAACAAACCTTTGTACAAAGTCATGACGTTTTGATGAATGTATTTTTGACTCCTACAGAGTGTAAAAGTAATGTGATTGCTAGGTACAATCATGTGGTATATTTCTCAGTGACTAGGAGGGCTAGGATATGCTTATGAGAAAAAATTAGTATTTCTTTGATTTTTAAAATTCTCATTGCGTTTTTGCAGATTCGGGTTTTCAGACCACCTAACTACTCTGGTACCATTGCCTTGGCCCTGTTAGTGTCGCTTGTTGGTGGTTTGCTTTATTTGAGAAGGAACAACTTGGAGTTCATCTATAACAAGACTGGATGGGCCATGGTATCTCTGGTATGTTATGATATTATACTTTATTTCCTATATTTTTGATAAATAGTAAAACTTGTATAATATAACTTGTACCATATTAGCAACATGAACCATATTGTTACTATAATGAAAACAAATTTGAGTGGGAAGAATTAACTTCTGAGGACTTGGATGATACAGTTTTACTTCATTATCAGTCTAAGTTTTGCTGTCTTTCTTCTTCTCACAATTAAAATGTAATGTCTCAATGCAGTTGGCATACTAAAGTGCTACATAAATATTTTGAATGCATTTGGAAATATGATAAGAACTAATTAGAATAATTTCCAAACTGAAGAGATTTGGAAATATGCTCCTTCATCTGTTTATTTATTTATTTTTGTCCCCCAACAGTTGTTGCTTGGGTTTTATCTACCTCATGGTTGGAAACCTTTTTTCTTTCAAGCACTGTTGGTATATTTATAAATCATTTGCAGGCTCTACAAAATTATGAACTTCAAAATTAGCCTGCATAGATTTTTTGAATTTTGAGTCCCACCTGCAGTTGCCTTGCCAGGGCCAGACCAGATGAATTCGTGGGCCATATATAGCCCGTAGACTGGATGTCATCTACCCCTGATCAACATGCTTGTGCATAGGTAGTAGAGATGTACAGTGTGACTGGATTCGCTGTGAGGAGGTAAGCAGGGAGTATTAAAAGAATACAGATAAAAGGTACCTCACCTAGAGTAAAAGGAATCAGGACAGGTTTCCTGGACCATGGCATGAATGGAATTTGAAGAGTAAATGAAGTTCTATCATAGGGGGACCAGATAATCAGCATTTGCAAAGTCTCGCATATTCAGAGAACTGTGATTCTGTGTGGCTAGAATAATGCTGGCCAGGCAAGAATGAGGAAGAGATGGAGCTGGAGAGGAAGAATGGAACAGTTTGATCTACACGCTAGAATTTCTCCGCTGGGCAGAGGGAAGCCATGAAAGTATTCCAGGGATACATGCTGTGTTTACGAACAATCATTCTGATAAAAATGGGAAATTGATTGAAGTGGGTACGTGTGGCAGTTTGAAGACTGGTTAAGAGCGTTAGAAGCATCCAGGTGAACAAGATCCTGTTTCAGTTTGTACAAAAGTATTTTTCGTTTTATGATTATGATCATACTGAATATCTTAAAGTAATTAGTAAAATGAAAAATACAAGCATTATATAATTCAAATATATGCAGATGATGATACTATGCCTGCTGATTAAAATGTTGGTGTTATAAATAGTACCAGAAAATGTATGCTATGCAAATAGACTTTAAACTGTTACTAGAGAATAAAATGCTTCCTGATATATAGAGGAATAATATTTTTCATTTTGCTTTTCTGTATTCCTTGGGAGACTTATAACTATTTAAAGCAAAATATATCAGCATTATGTTAATTGATGAGTTTATATTCTGTGTGTCTGTTTATGACAATAGTGGATAGAAAAAGATGAATTGAACTGTGCTGTTATGATGTTCCTATATCTTACCAAGCATGGTTCAGCATCATGTTTGTTATTTGCAATGTATTTAAAATGGACATTGTAATTCCCAGAGGAACAACCAGAAACATACTACAATGTGATATAGTCAGAAAGCCAATGGAAGGATTTAAATGGGATGCTGTGTTTGTGTGTGTGTGTGTGTGTGTGTGTGTGTGTGTGAGTGTGAAATGAGCTCAAAATAAGGTATGAAAGGAAGAAATAATGAAAACTGCATGGAAAACAATACAGATAAAACGTGACAGACCTATATACAATTGTATCAGTATACTTATGTACATTAAATATAAATGGACTTGACTTCCATTCAAAAGGCAAGTATTTACACGTTGGACTAAAGTGCTACAGCAAACTGTATGTTTTCTTGGGAAAAACACTTGAAAGAAAATGATACTGAAAACAAAAGAATAGAAATATACACACCAAAAAAGACATAAATAAATGGAGAGAGATACTGTATCCAAGGATCATAAGACTTAATATTGCTATCTGACATTTTCTTCAGATTTATCTGAAGTATACTTTCTCCTGGCTCTCCTCATTAAACCTTGATATTTGACATAGAGACCCTTGGTCACTTGCATAGAGAAAGATATTGGCCTAATCCCTAGTGTTGCTTATTTTTTTTAAGATTATCTATTTGAAAGGCAGAATTACAGAGGCAGAGGCATAGAGAGAGGAGGGTCTTCCATGTACTAGTTCACTTTCCAAATATTTGCAATGACCGGAGCTGGTCCAAACTGAAGCCAGGACCCTGGAGCTTCTTTTAGGTCTCCTATGTGGGTAAAGTGGCCCAAGTACTTGGGCCATTCTCCTCTGCTTTCACAGGCCATAGCAGAGAGCAGGATCAGAAGTAGGGTAGCCAAACATGAAGCAGCACCCATATGGGATGCCGCACTGCAGGTGACAGCTTTAGCCACTATGTCACAATGCCAGCCCTGTGTTGCTGGGTTTTAAAAGTTGATAGGTCTTTGGGACATGCTCAGGCTGACTTGCCCCAAGTGGTGGAGTTGGAAGCATACCAGGGGATTCCAATTCAATCCCATCGAGGTGGCATGTACCAATGCCATCTCACTGTTCCAGGTGATCAATTTCAGTTCACAGTTGGTCATGGTGGAGGGACTGGGAGTCAAAGGGAGCACATAGACAAGTCTAGTACCTGCTAATACTAACCGATGGAGTAAATAAAGGGGAGAGTGATCCAACATGGGAAGTGAGATACTCAGCAGACTCATAGAATGGCGGATGTCCTAAATAGCACTCTGGCCTCAGAATCAGCCCTAAAGGCATTCGGAGCTGGCTGAAAAGCCCATGAGAGTATTTCAGGCATGGAAAGCCAAGACACTCTGGCAAAAGATCTCTGCGAATGAGATCCCAGTGGAAAGAACAGGTCTTCAAAGAAGGAGGTACCTTTCTCTGAAGGGAGGAGAGAACCTCCACTTTGACTATGACCTTGTCTAAACAAGATAAGAGTCGGAGAACTCAGAGGGCTTCCATAGCCTTGGAAACTCATAACTGGAGCATAGGGAGATTGCTGATGCCATAGACAGGAGTGTCAATTGGTAAAGTCAACAACAGGAGTCACTGTGCACTTACTCCTCATGTAGGATCTCTGTCCTTAATGTGCTGTACATTGAGATTTAATGCTATAACGAGTACTCAAACAATATATTTCACTTTGTGTTTCTATGGGGGTGCAAACTGTTGAAATCTTTACTTAATGCATACTAAACTGATCCTCTGTAAAAAAAAAAAAAAAAAAAAAAAAAAAAAAAGAAATTATCAATTCCCAACTTGACTATCACTGGGATTAAACATGACAATAGGTCTGCTCTGATTTCATCATCATTTAAAAAAATCATCTATTATTTTTCACTTTATGTTTCTGTGTGGGAGCAAACTGTTGAAATCCATACTTAATGTACACTAAGCTGATCTTCTGTATGTTAAGATAATCGAAAATGAATCTTGATGTGAATGGAAGGGGAGAGGGAGTGGGAGAGGGGAGGGTTGTGGGTGGGAGGGACGGTATGGGGGGGAAGCCATTGTAATCCATAAGTCGTACTTTGGAAATTTATATGCATTAAATAAAAGTTTAAAAAAAAAAAAAAGAAAAAAAAAGTTGATAGGTCTTGGTAAAGAATCGCAGGGCTCTCCCGTTCATCCCTAGGCTTGTCAGGGTATGTGAAGTGATGGTCATGGATCCATCAGGGGCTGTCACCATATGCACCTTGCCAAGATTTTCTGTCTCCTCTCCTTGCACCCCCACCCCCAGCCTCAAGTCTAGCTTTGAGTGTTAAGGATGTGGTGCAGAGAGCCCCAAGAGAGCAACAGGCCTGGCCACAAAACTGTTCCTGACTGACAGTTCCTCTAATGGAGGTTGGAGGCAGAGGGTGGAGCAGTTTCCGGCAGAGCCTGGGGTTCTGCAGAGGACATGCTGCAGCCTGCTGAGGGAGGCTACAGCCAGTCAGCTCAGGCGCCTCCCTATAGGCAGTGCTGTGTGGCACTGTGACAGTTTGTGGGTGGCGCCTGGTTCCTACCCTTATGCTGCTTTTTTTGCCCTGGTCAGTCTTTGAGGCAAGAAGCACTGAGATGCACATGAGGAGCCAGCACCACAGCACAGGGGATTCGAACTGAATGCATGATAGGCTGACTAACTGGCAGATAATGTGGAAGTGGCCGGTCACTAGTGCCGCTCCTGCTGGCACCATTGCTGTTCCCTCAGTGGCTGCTGAAAGCAGAGATCCCTGCTAACCTAACCAGCCTGGCAACATTCGCTAAGTTTGATGAGATTGCCTCCTCGATCTTGAAACAGTACTAATAAAATAAAAAGTATATGCAAACAAATGGGATATCCTGAAGAAATGGATAAATTCCTAAAAACATACTCTCTACAAAGATTAAGTTCTGAGGAAGTAGAAAACCAAAACATAAAAAATGTGTGTCTTGTCCCTCTTTTTTTGGTTAGTTACGGCAATAGGCAATAGTGAATCAATTTGGTTCATTTTTTTCTAAAAAAACCCATCTCTTCATTTCACTGTTCTTTTGTATTTTTTTTCAGTTTTGTTTATTTTTAAATTATTTCGGGGCCAGCGCCATGGCTCACTTGGTTAATATTCCACCTGTGGCACCAGCATCCCATATAGGCTCTGGTTCTAGTCCCGGTTGTTCCTCTTCCAGTCCAGCTCTGCTGTGTCCCGGGAGGGTAGTGGAGGATGGCCCAAGTGCTTGGGCCCTGCACCCCATGGGAGACCAGGAGAAAGCACCTGTTTCCTGGCTTTGGATCGGTGTAGCGGCCATTTGGGGAGTGAACCAACGAAAGGAAGCCCTTTCTCTCTCTCTCTCTCTCTCTCTCTCTCTCTCTCTCTCTCTCTCTCTTTCTCTCTCACTGTCTATAACTACCTGTCAAATAAAAAAAAATCTTTAAATTATTTTGTTCCTCCTACTAAATTTGAGTTTGCTTTGTTTATTTTTCTAGTTCCTTGAGATGC